TTTCCAGTTCCTATCTGTACCAGTGTACATCCTCTGGTCTAGCCAGACTTGCAAGGTAGAATTGGGATCATGATAGGGGGGTGGGGTGGGGAGGAAACATTTAGGAACTAGAGGAAAGTTGTATTTTTCATCGTTGCTACATCCAGGGGGCAATTCTATACGATCCTAGAGGGTCCCTGTAAGTCTGCCTTTCTTGTAAACCAAAACTAAACCTACTGACATGGGGTCCTTGTATCAGACTTACATAGGGTTTCCAAGACTACACCTTACGGAAGTAGATGGCCTCATCTTTCTCTTGTGGACTGGCTGATGGGTTTGAACCACCCTGTTCCTGGTGGTCTTCGGCTGAAGGACCTCGAACGGCCTCACTAACCGTAAGGTACTGACACAGACCTGATGCTAGGTCTAGCGGCAGATGATGCGGGGTTCAGGGTCTGTGAGGGGAAATTTCCTAGGACTTCTTAAGATGATGTGTAGTTTAAAAAGAAGCTGCAAAATCCGCTCAACTACTTGTAAAATTGATTGTGGCTGTAATTGTACAACTCCTCTTGATATGATTGAACGACTGAATTGTATATGTGGATTACATGCCAATAAAACAATGTTTAAATTCAACAACAACAACAACAAAAGAAATCGGATCCACCAGTCAGCCAGGCTCATCCAATCCAATGGAGAAGACATCCTTTCTACTAACTAGAGTGAATTCCCCAAACTGGAATTCTGCACACAATCCTGAACATTAATTTGTGGACACTGATTGTGTACCTAATCGTTCCTGTTCTTGTATATTGTTAGCTCTTCTCTCCTAATGTAGATGATGCTTTATTCAGCTATGTTTCGCCACTGTTGCTGGGTGCTCTGCAGTAGATTTGCAATCACAGCCACCCTATTGACAAAGCAGAACTGCCCTAGATGGTTTTCTTGGCTGTAATCCGGTGACCCTGCTCAGTAAGCTTTGAAAGCACTTTAAGGTCAGTAGTACAAACTCACTAGCCACTCTGAGGAAGAAAGATGAGGCTGCCTGCTCCCTCAAAGATTTATAGTGTCAAAAACGAAGTGGTTGCTATGAGTTGGGACCAGCTTGATGATTGTGGGTTGGTTGGCTAATTGGTAACTTATTCATCAGATCTTTCTCCTGGGAAGCTGCTAGGTGGGTTTGAATAGCCAGTCTTTTTTTTAAGCCTAGTGCTTCACCATTATGCCAACAGGGGTCTCAGCAGTGCTTTGTTGGGAGCCTTCCCAGCCATGCTGTCCAGCAAAGCTGCAGCCTGGTGGAAGAAGCATCTGCAGAGCAGAGCTTTCCAGGGAGGGATTCCAACATCCCTCAAATATTTGCTGTTGTTAAATCCATTCTTGAGAATTTTGTGCATTGTCATGTTTACCGCACCTGGAGTGGATGCGAGGGCAGTCTTGAGAAGTACGAATGAAACCAGATCTAAAACTTGCTTCAGTATGACGGAGCTTTCCTTAACTGAGGCATTGGAAAGGCTTGGACAGCGAGACATGTTTGGGAATTTTCAGGATATGTGGAAATTGAGTGCGGTCAGAGGAGAAAATGAAACCCACCGAAAAACCCTGGATTCCATTCAGATTAGGTGGTGGGAGACTCTTTTGGCCTCCCTGATATAGAGGACGTTATAGACTGCCTCCCCCAACTGAGGCCCCTTTACCTTGGACAGGGGCTTACATAGAAGGTGAGAGAATGGTTAACATTAATAGAAAACACGTAACAGGGGAAACATTAAGTCTTTGGCAAAGAATCAGATAGTTTGGCTCCCCATGGTGCCTCAGGAGTATAAAAAATAAAAGAGACATAGGTAGACAACGGAACAGTTACCATGGGAGAGTTTGTAAAGGAAAATATTTAACTCGGAGAAGCATTTAACTCTGCTTATAGATATTAGGCTTTGAAGTAGCACATGAGGTAGTTTCATTGTGTTAGGATAGTCGGTGAGAAAAGGAACATTGTGAGCAAAAAATAGGGCAGTGAGTAGGTATGAGTCTAACCAAATTTTCTGAACACCTCAATCAAGAAGAGCATGTGACGTATAAGACAAACAGTCCAGAAAGAAAGAGCCAGGAAGAGGGCAGAAAGTGATAGAAAAAAGTACAGACCTTATAATGGCCTTTTATTAGGTTTTAATGGAAACAACAAGGGTGACTTTGGAGTTAATCATAAGGCATTGTTTTCATGTAGTGGTCTGCAAAACTTTTGATGGTATAAATAAAGCTGTTTGGAAGAACTCAGCAGAGATTGCTTCCACCAGAACATCTCTCGTGTCTGTATCGTCGGTGTTCGCCGACTCCACACCTCCTTCAGGGATCCAGTTCAACCCTCCCTCCCGGAGCTGGACTCTGTCAGTGCTTGTTAATATTTTTCTTAAAAATGTGTTTTATATGTCCTTCAGCCCGGGAGCAGCATCATACTTATACTTTATACCCAATAAATACTTGATGGAAGAATTAGAGATGCCTTTTGTAAAACAAAATGATCCACATAGGCTTTCTAAAAAAGAAAGAAAGAAAATAATTTTTCAATAGTTCCACAGGAATGTTATAAAAATAATTTTAAAATGAAGAAATCATTTAAACATAGAGCTTTGGTTCATTGTTTTAAAAGTTTGTAATGATGATTGTAAGCTAAATATAAACCCAAAGTAATTATTTTAAAAGAAATATAGGTATAAGAAGATACAGTTTGAAAAGGTAGGTCTAAATTTTAGCTATCAATAAAAGTCAAGAAGTGAATAGAGTAGTACAGTGCAGTGAATTATTTATATGCGTCTGCTGGCTAGTCTTTGTAACTCCCCCCAGAGGATTGGGCTGTTGGGAGGTGCCCTTGTGCTAACTTGGACTCTTAAGGACCCCAGATGCAGCAGAATGCAGCCCCACTGCATCCTGGGCTTCCACCATGGCTGTTCCTACATTCAAGCCCATTTTTGGAGCCACTGTGTCCATCTGCCTCATTGAAGGCCTTCTTATTTTTCACTGACCTGATACTTTATCAAGCACGAATTCCTTTCTCCAGATATGACATATATTGCCCCCAAACAGGAGACAAAATTCTCGATATCATTTCTTCTCCTTCTTCTCCTCCTCCTCCTCTTCCTCCTCTTCTTCCTCCTCCTCCTTCTTCAGTAAGTTAACTTTATTCTATTGCAATGAGGATGCAATGTAAGTTAAAATTTTTTTTTCTCTTCAAGCTTTTATGTACATTATTTCTAAGGAGAATTCTGAGTATACTTTTTTCAGGACAGAATTGTTCATTCTTCGGGAAGTCCAGGGTATATCGAATATTCTTCATCAGTACCAAAACCCGAAAGCCTCCATTCTTCAGCTTTCCTTACTCGTTGTCAATGTACGACGCGGTAGAACTATGCAAAGGTGAGGTGCTTGGGGTCCACCTGGGAAGTCCGATTAAACAAACAAACAAGCAAAATAGCTGCCATCAAGTCAATTCCAACTCTATTGCAAGTCAGTTGCAACTCCAGAGTTTATTAATAATGTAAATAAGGGACATAGTACTCTTGTGGGATGGGAGCATGCAAATAAGTTGTCTGGAACTCCAACATGAGGTTTAGTGAGCGTTGCCATCCAATAGCATTAAAACTAGTCATGCCAGAATAGAAAAAAGGGGCTCTCTTTACCACAAAGAAAGAAGAGCCAAGAGTGGAGCATGGAAAAAAAAAAAAGTGGAGCATGATCTTTTCTCCCGAATTTTCTGGGCCAAACACCCTTGATCCGGGAGCTAGAGAGCTATGCCACCGGAAATGCTGACAGATGGTGAGAGGCAGTGGCAGCAGAACCAGGAGACCAGTAGGAGGCAGAGCAGTGGGTTTCCTACCTCAGAGAGTAGAAAGCTGGGTGCCTTTGCCCAGGAGCCTTGTTGGGGGACTGGGTTGTTTCCAATCTGTTAATCAGAGGAAGTAAAAGAGCTTGGTAGTACTTGCCCAACCAGGGCAGCAGCCAACGGGGTCATGTGGCTAAGTTGCTGAGTGCCAGAGAGAGGCAGGCATGCAGGCTGGCTGAGAAGTGACTGTCTTGTTTGAAGTACTGTATCCTGAGTATTCCTGATCCTGAATTGCAACCTGTTACTTCCCCATAATTGTAACTATTGTCTCTACGGTCTGTGAGCCATGCCATGGCAGAAGAGAGTGCCTTGGGAAGATGGTTGGTGTCAAAAGAGGTAAAAAGTTTGGAAAGTGAGAGAATGCATACTGATCTCTACCTCCTCGGATTCAGCCTTGGGCTGTTGCTAATGGTGATTCTCCTCATCCCCTGCAGTGACATTAGAAAAAGGCAGATGCCACCTCCTCTCATTTTTACAGGTCCCAAGGCTGAGAACTAAAATCCTACTAAGCTTCACACGGCACATAGAGAAAATATATTTTGAAAACAACAGCAACAATCAAACTCACTACCATCTAGTTGATTGTAACTCATAGTGACTGTGTAGGACAGGGTAGATTTCTGTGGGTTTCTAAGACTATCTCTTTCTGGGACTAGAAAGCATTGTTTTACTCCCACAGTGTGGCTGGTGGTTTTGAACCCCTGACTTTGTGGTTAGTAGCCCAATGTATAACCGCATGCCACCCGGACTCATGGAGAGAAAATATATGGATGTTGTTATTTTAGTTACATATACACATATCTATAGAAACAGTGTAAGTGTAAAATGAAGATCAAAAAATGGGTTGTATATCTTTCATATCACTAGAAATATCTCTTAATTATTTTTTCTTTCTTTTAAAAAAAAATACTTTTATTAGGGCTCATACAACTCATCATAATCCACACATACATCAATTGTGTAAAGCACATTTGTACATTCATTGCCCTCATCATTCTTAACACATTTGCTCTCAGCTCCTCATTTTTCCCCTCCTGCCCCGCTCCCCCTATCTTTTAATTATTATGAAAAAAGATTTTCTTTGTGATTGCTTCTGTTGCTTTACTATTTAGGAGTTAGAGATGCTAACAAAAATGTATCTAAGGAATTGTTACCCGGGTGGCTCATTGTATGGCATGGCACATTCCAATAGACCGTGCTCCCGCGGTCTTTGAATGCCCGATTTTTCGAATGCAGATTGCCAGGCCTTCCTCCCACTGCCGAACCTATCATCTTTCCGTTGGAACCTGAGCACATAAACAGGCTGCACCACCAAGGGCCTCCAAAGAAGCATTGATGATAGAACGGTTTTAATAATGAAAGCTCAGAAGGCTGAATCGCTTACAAATATTAAAACTATAAAATCAAATCACAGTACTCCACACAAAAAATTTTATTGCAAAAAACGAAAAGAAGTTACAACACGAGCATCAGTCCTGATACATCATATGAAAAAAATGTGTATCTACGTGTTGGTTGGTACCTATAATTTCCGAAGACAAGCCATAAAAAAGGAAGAGCAGAAGCCATGGGTGTCAGAATTATCGGGATCGAATCCTACCTCTCCTGACCACAAACTCTACAACCGTGGGCAAATTATGTGATTTTTTTCCCCTGCATGTTCCAATTTTTTCACCTATAAAATGAGTTCCTTAATTTAAAAAAAATCAGGTAGAGGACATCACATGTAGGGGAATGATGGCTGTGTTAGTCTGGGTACTTTAGAGAAACAAATCCACAGAAACTCATGTATAAGAGAGAGTTTTATATAAAGGTTAAGTGCATATCAAGAAAACATCCCAACCCAGTGCTGCCCAAGCCCACAAGTCCAACATTAACCCATATGTCCAACACCAATCCACAAAGTCCTCCTCCATCTCACAAAAACACACACAATGATGCCGACTGCAGGAGGAAAGCTGAGTCAGTGAATGTGTAAGCATCTCAGCACTAGCAGGGTCTCCACACAGCTGCTCCAGCACCCAGGGCTGCATCGGGGTAGGTCCATGTGGCTTCTCCTTGGGGATGTCTTGCAGGAAGTCAGCCTTGCAAACTGAAGCTGGGAACTGCTAAGGCAGCTGCACCCTGGTGCGACCATCACAAAGCAAGAGACCCAAGAACTAGAAAGGTGAGGCTCGCCGAGTCATTTATCTCTCCACCCTTCAATTAAACTCACATGTGTTTATTGGCCAGGTTGGCACAATAAACTCACTCACTCACTGGTCTAGAGTATCTGCTATATGCCTATGAAGGAGCGGTGCAGTGAAGTATTTAATATGGTTCTTCTAGTCTTAACCTTTGTGACTCCCACCAAGTGACCTTTGTTTTCCAGATGGGTCTGGGTAAGATAGTTGGAGAAGGTATGTGGATACATGATTCAGTTCTGAGTGATTACTAACAGGGTTAAATGTGAGTGCCATCTTGCAGGGTATAAAAATGGCCATCTCAGAAGCAGGATGGGGGAGTTCATTACCACTAGAAAGAAAATGGAGCATGTTTATTGGACCCCATGCTCTTTGTGTACTGAACCTTCTTGATCCAGGAGATGAAGCTTTGACACCAGAGGAGTAGCAGGGATGCACCACCAGCAGAACTGGGAGCTCAGGCACCAACTAGAGCAGTGGACTTCCAGCGCACTGAGCCAGGAAAGTTCAGTGTTTTGGGCAGCAGGCTGGCTTATATAGGGGGGTGCCTCTGGGAATGTAATTTGGAAAGCTGGGCTCACTGACCCCTGGAGCTGGAGCTGAATGCTTTTGGTTTGAAGCATACAGTAGAGTGGCCTACTCTTGGGGCATTGATTGGCAACCCTCAAGCTTTGTAACATGCCCAGATGAGGGCAGATGCCAGACCAAGTGGTTGAGGGCCAGAGAAAAGCCTGTCTGTGGGCATCGCCGAGAAGACACTCCTGATTGAACAAGTGTATCATGAGCACCTCTCACCTGTCTTGCAACCTGTTAAATTCCCTAATAAACTCCATAATCAAGATCATTGTCTTTGGGTTCAGTGGCTATTGCAATGGAGTGTAGAACCCAGCTGAAAAGCAGAGTGCTGTGGAAGGGAGAGTTGGTGCCGGAATTGGTAAGGAAGGGTGGAGGACGGGAGGAGAACTGACATTAGCCTCATTGGCATTGGCCTTGGGTGGTGATCATTATGATAATTTTGCTTCCTGCTCAAGTGAAGTTGAGAATCAGATACCATCTTCACTTTTTTTTTTAACAGTGGGCTTCGAAATTTTTGTGTTAAACTTCCATGATCTTTTTAAAAATTTTTAACCTTTTTAATTATATTTTTTCCCCAAAAACTTTTTGAAGCCCTCTTGGGTACTCATGGAAACCTGGTAGCCTAGGGACTATATGTTGAGCTATGATCCTCAAGGTCAACTGTTCAAAACCACTAGCTGCTTCACAAGAGAAAGAAGGGGCTTTTTACTCCAGTCAAGAGTGATAGTCTCAGAAACTCACAGGGGCAGTGCTACCCTGTCCTATAGGGTCACTATGAGTCACTATAAGTCAGCATTGACTCAGTGGCAGTGAGTTTTTTATTTTTGGCGGACACACACACACACACACACACACACACACACACACACCCCTATATCTTACTCACTGGCATGGTTAGGCTTCCAAGATGAGATTATGACATGAAAATCAGCATTATGTAAAAATGGAAGATCCCCACATGACTGCCAAATTACATCATTATCTAAAACTACCTACCTCTGAGAATCATGCCCTAGTCAGGTTTACACCTGACCTTAATCCCTGGAGCCAGAGTTACTCTCCCTACATATGCCCTGTGTTCCTTACGCCTGGAATACATTTTTAGTGACCAAAATAATTGAGTAGTAGATCTTTCATTGTAACTAGGAAACGTCAGATGACTAGCGAGTTGATGAATAAGGTGTCTGTGTATAAATGCAGGTGTGAGAGAGAGATTTTTGTTTCATTTTAGCTATCTAATGAGTGATGGTCTTTCCTCTGGATTTTAATTATATCATCTGTAATTTTTCTGAATTCACTAACTTTGTGTCTTTAAATCAATGGCATATGTTCTGCCAACCTGTAAACACACAGATCAAACTGGATCACAGGATGAACCCCTCAAGCCAGTGACCTTTAATGACACAGTGCTCAGAGACCAGCAGAGTTCCGAGAAACCAAGTAAATGTCAATGCAAAGGGTCTTTATTTCTTAACGAATCAGATCACCAGCCTATGACCCTGAGTCCTCTTCAATAATGATCTTTTTGTAAAATCAGAACTTCTATAACAACAACACCACCACACACCCACACAGAAGAAATGGCACATGGGGCTACACCTGACCTCCAACTACCCAAAGAAAGAAGTGATTGGGACTCCATACCAGCTCTAAGTCATTTGCCACAAGACAGAGGTCAGACATGTCTTCTCCCTTTATCCTTCTCCACCCTGTTCTGACACCAACCATCCCTCTCATAGCACCACACTTCTCTGCTGGGCTCAACAATCCATTGCAAAAAGGAACTCTCCTTTTTGTCCACCGCACCTCTTCTCAACCACGCCAGAAGGCATGTTTCTCTCTGTTCCTCAGATATTCAGGCATGTGGCCCCTTGGTTTCTGTCCCATTCAGGCAAGGGTTACAAAGCTCTGA